CTTAGCAATGTTTGTAATTTCCAGTGTTTGAACCAAATGGCTCGAATGTCAGTGATTCAGAATGTAAAACAGACGAGTGATCTTGGCCTCCTCCATCAAGAAGGATTCTCGCGGTCATTTTGTGATGGCATAAGATTGGCAGACTGTATAAGGTCGCTTTCGCCGTCTGCAGAAGAATGCTATCATTCATATTAACAGATGATGTTTCCCTCTTGTCACCGACTAGACTCTCGTGCTTCCACGTGTCAGTGCCAGGCTGAATTGCAGATTTTACACTTGGATAGGTGATACTGACCAAAGTCATGACACATGTAGGTTTTTCAATTTCCCTCTGATCCAGCCATGAGTGCTGAAGTACTGGAGTGTCCCTTGCCCTTCCACTCCCCATAGGTGGCAGGTTTTGATCTGTAAGACTGCTGAATAATCACAACGCATCCTGTTTCCTGCAGTAATTCTTCTTTAAGCTCTTTCAACACTGCCTCGAGGTTCCATTTTAATTTTCTTGGAGATTTTATTACAGATGCTTAATCTGACCTTAATCTGATATCCTCTGGTATTTTGTGCAACATCAAGAGAAGAAAGAGTCCTCCGTATTCGTCTGCTTTATGGCCTAATGCACTCACTCAATTCTCGTACATTTGCTTGTACTTCGTGTAAAGACGCCTCGTTGCCTGCAAATCACAACCATTTATAACAGTGGGGAGATTACCCAGCACATCCATATGAGCATTAATAATTTTATGTGTATCTCCATACCTTTCCTTTAACAACAGCAGTTGCAGTTGCAGTTGCAGTGTCACAGCTGCATTGTCATTTGCACTAGCCAAGTTCAATCCATTGATCGTGGCTGCAGCAGAGCCCTGGAGTGACGCTGGCAGATAGGAGAACTTGCGGACGGGAGTGAGCGATTGATCTGAATGAATTATTGAATCGAGACTGTCCCAAAACAACGACCATTCATTGAATTTACCATCGAATGATGGTAGTTGCAATTTGGGTGCTCACCTATGAATTGCTGACTCCATGTGCCGATATGTCGACTTTTGAGAAGGGGCTCTTTGTATAGACGGTATTACAGCTTGTTCCGGGTGGTCAAGTATCCATAAATTCAGCATCCATGAATTAAGAAGACTCTGCAATCTCTTTTTGGATGTTTTGTTTGATTTGAATTAAAATAGTTTCATTATTGAAGTGATTACTTCCATCTTCTTCTCGAACGTAGATTTGTGATGTTTGATTCGACTTTGGCGTTCGGGTTTTGATTATTGTAATTTCCCGCCAACCCGTATGCTTCGTTTATCACCCGTCGTACACGTTCCTTATGTCCACTGAAAACTCCCTTTTACTTTACAAGGTTCAGCGAAATCACGACGACTCTTTGCAATGATTAACTTTA